TGCAATGAGCTTTATTTACAAATAGGTTGTTTGATTACATACTTCATTGCACTGCAAGTGCACAAAAACACACTTCCCTAAAAGGGGGTCTATGCTGAAATGTTCCCTAGATAGGGGTGGCCTAGAATGAAAAGTTCCCTAGAAAGGAGTTCTAGACTGAAAAGTTCCCTAGATAGGGGGTGAAATTCATCGGAAAAGCCCGTGAAAGGGGGAGTTAAATTTTCTTCTTTTCCCTAGATAGGGGGGGTCAAAAAAATGAGGGAACAAGCATAGCCCCCCCTAAATATAGGGAGTGGGGGGGGGGCGTACACCAGAGTCTACATGATGTTCTTTATCGACTTGTATTTCAAACTTGCTTCCAATGAATGCTAGATTTAGCAGGTGGAAATGTACATTCGGAGTTGAAATAACTTAAGTTGAATTTAAATTTAACCTTTTCACTACCAGACTTTCTCTTTCTGTCCCAATCTTCTGAAGTAAAGTGCAGACTACAAACTGGACTATTAATTTAGTACTCTGGTCAATGGAAGCCACTCAAGCCCACAGCTAACTTACAAGCAACACTACAAACCATACGTTATATCACATACTAAAAGTAGATAAAATGGCCATATATGTATAGGGTGATTTATTGTACAGACATGTTACCTGATAATTCCACCGTCCCGAATTGCACCAAGGAGAGTTCCATAATCCAACCAATACGTTACACCCAATTCTTCCAATGATTTGCTCACATGGAGTAACATAAAACGTAGGTCGTCTAGCTGTATGTCAGTTAAAAAACATTCCCCCGCTTTAGAAGGTAAATACCTAGTGAGTTTAAATGTATAATTTGCCACTTCCAGCAACGATATCATCACCACTGCTACCAACAGACGAACCAAAACCTTTTTTCTCATGGATAATGTCATTCTAGCTTTAAAGGTTTTAAAATAAACACAATCGGCGTTTCGCACTTCCAGACGCTTTCCTAATACAGACAGCCGATTAAAATGGCAAAAGCTTGTTTAAAGTTTGGCCAGTTCGGGGGTTATACTCCAAGAAAGTGATTGGTGTGATCAGGAAGTCTGAGAGGGTGTCATGTTCGGTAGACTAGAATTCTATCAGCTTTTTGGTCGAAAAGCGAATGAAAGGAAAGGCTATAATTCGTTGTTTTCTTCTTGCTTTTGAAATCAATCGAGTTTTTTTCCAAAATGAATTACATTATGAACCCCCCTGGACAGAAAATGACGTCAAAAATGACGTCAGTAAAGTGAAGTGTAAAGAAAAAGTTGATAATTAACAGTTGTTCTTTTGTTTGGGTAGGAAAAGTTAAAAGGCATATACCAGCCAAGAATGTTGTTGATTTACTGGTCATAAAGCAAATTTCAAATGTTCAAAACTTAGTCATACTAAGAAATGTGATATCTCAAGAGCCACTTATTCAGATTTTAATAAAACTATGTACAAAGATGCTCTGGAATAATGCTCAGACCTGATTAGTTTTTGGTTGAACTATTACTTAATTTGCATTTAAGTATGAAAGTATGTCACCAGAACTGAGGCAGTGCAGTGAAAAAAATATACCGGTAACGAATACAATAAATCAAAACAACACAATATATAAGGTTTCTTTCACTTTAATAAATAAATAGTACGGGGCGCTGGTCGATGGAACAGCAAGGAATGGAGATGTACAGTAACAACTTGGGACTTAATAGATGGTTATCTCAAAATAGCGGAGAAATCAGTGCATAGAGGATGCTAATTTTGGTAGTGGAATTTCGTGTAGCGTCTGTATGTCATGGCGGTCAAGATATATGCAAGTAGAAAAAAATTAAGTAATATATGAGAAGTAAGTACAAAAGTACACTATGTTTATGACGTCATAAACTCAGTTTGTTTGAACGGCTCGGATATAAATTAAACCATTATAGTTGTAAATAACCGGCATTTACACATGACATAACTATTTACATTTATGTTGTACTGTGAGTTTGCTCGTAATATATCACTTTACTGCGGTACGAGGCAGGTTGTTAATATAGACATTTAAAGGCAATGTCCAGCATTATAACACCATGAACTAAAAAACAGGGCATTCACTACTGAAACATTGGGTGAGTGCACAACTACCCAATATGCTCATCGACTGACTTTCCACCAAACAACACACATTTTATACACGCACGGGCACTGTGATATATACCGTAACAGGCGTAAGAATCACATAAAACGGCGAGTTTCTCCCAAAACAGAGCAAAATGTGAAATTCACTGTCTCTTCGTGTCTTCGGGTAATGCGTTAAGCTCAAAAATAAACAAAGTTTCCATTTTAATAGTGACAGAAAACTTTAATTCAGTCTTCAAATACATCAAAACTATAACATTTTGCGTTGAAATACTTAATCAGAATTGCCAATGAATATATGTACTTTAAATTATGTTATGTTATAAATTATGAAAGCTTATGCTGAATGGTTGATTGAAAGCGATTTTAAAATGGCTTAGCCTCTCTTTCTTTCAGAGTTTGTGCACAGTTAACTAGAAAATACCCAAGATGCTCTGTTTCATTTTATGTTTTGCTGTTTTTGTATTATGAATGCTATAATGCGAATATTGTTAATGTAGATATATGTGAATATAGAGCAGTGTTGGTTGGTTCATTAAGTTATTTTGGGGGATTTATTGTATGCAGCATGGAGCTCTATAGCTGACTTGCCAGTGAAAATGACTAGTTTGCGTGTTCATGATATTATAATGCTGGATATTGTCTTGTGATGTCATCATTTGAAGCTTGACAGCAGGCAGAGCACTTACTGTTGTCCAGTGACCTTTATATATCCCTTATAACAACTTACCCTTTGAACCAACACAGAATATAGCATATCTATAAGCAAAGAGATATATTAATATCCACTTTAAAGAGGAAAATGTGGGTAAATTTGATTATCTACCCTGGAATAAAAGAAAAAATAAAATTTTGCAAAACTTGGATAAAACCCAGGCTAGACTAAGCCCTGGGGTGTTTGATTACATTAAGTAACTGCAACATTAAGTCCTTATAGAATACGGCTTACAACAGAATGTGAACGTAGAAAAGCTGGTAAATCGTCTACTTCGATAAAATTCTATATTAATTTCAAAACTTATGTATTCATTTGTATTGTAATAAGTACTAGAAGCCCCCCGATGAAAAGCAAACGCGTTGAGTGGCTTTCGTGGTGAGTAACTTTTGAAGTGAGTAAGTGGAAATCGAGAATCGCAATGGCATGCTGAAAATGAACACTAAATACAGCTATTCCAGCCAACGATCGAATAATCTATCTTCATGAGTAATATAACTGAGTGTGCAAATATTGTCAAATTTGAGAGTGTGTCTTTACATATGTATGACGATGTGAACATTATTGATGCAACCAAAAGTCCATTTTGGGCTAGTGCCATGGCCAAAATTTGGATAATAGCTATGTTGTTATGTTGTAGGTATACAACGAATTCGAAACTAAAGGACGGTAACGCTGAAATATTCAAGAACCAACATATACCAAAACTCCCAAAAGTAAATATTCGTGGTATATTTTAAGTCTAATCGAACCGGAAATGAAAATTTGTTACTACTCTAAATATCCAAACATATTATAGTATCAGGTAATAACTACTGCTTTAATATGTAAAATAGGATATGCAATTATATTTCAGTGTAGTGCGCCACCCAGAGTTATGGGGGTCCAGAATTGTATTAAATTGCATTGTATTGTATTGTATGACATGGTGGAAGTGTGTACAACTCTTTTGCAATCTGAGCCGTCACTGAGTAGCGTCGCTTATGTGTGGGCTTTGAATACGAACACAACGTTGAGCAACATCAAATGAATGAGGTTTGATTGGCAAACCTCATTGATGCTGTTGAACGTCATTTGTATAAAACGTAAATTGCAATTGGCCTCACTATGATGACGCATTCGCTGTGGAATGCTGAAAAAGAGCCTGCGTGAACAATATGCTAATAACCGAGGCCATGACGTAGACATATCTCATGGATATTATTTTAAAGAGAAATTATTAACAGGAAGTATTTCTATGTTATGAAACGCCTGAATCACGTATATTCGGTCTTGACCCTCACTCTGTCTATTGTGGTTATTTTATGACTGTACACGCTTCCTGGAATGCAAAACTGGTCACCAAATTTAAAAAGTGTCTCCGCTTTTTATACTGTAGGATTGCGTGAGCGTTGGCAAACCTAAATAGGTTTCGATTTTATACAGCGCCATCAGTGGCTGTTCCCGGCTCCATGCGTCTAGTGGTTGGACAACATGGGTATCTACAGTA